ACCCGACGGAGTGGTTCAACCGTGTGAACCAATTTTTTGAATTCCAGAATACTCTCGAAACCCAGAAAGTTTGCTTAGCCTCTTACCATTTGGAAGGAAAGGCCAACCAATGGTGGCAGTGGATCCGCAAGACGTTCCAAGACAAAGGACGTGCTCTCTCATGGGCAGATTTTGAAGACGATCTCTAGGCACGCTTTGGGCCATCAGAGTGCTCTGTTTTATGTATTTGAGTTCCGTTTTACGTGTTTGAGTTCCAGTTGCTAGTTTCCCTTCATTTTTGGTTTGTTTATACGTGGCTTTGCTTATTTAAGCAGCCAAATGTTATCAACGAAGCCAGGAAAAAATTATCCGAATTGTTGTGGTACTTTCTCACCCGAAGAGAACACAAGTTATTTTAGCATTTATACATGCTGCGTTTGGGACCTATCAAAACCAGAACCAGAACCGCACAGTGTAGGTTCCAAAAAAAAGGATCAGGAACCGAAACTGGAAAGTGCAGGTTCTTCAATTCAAGGAACCGAAACCTAAAATGTAGGTTCCGGTTGCTTTCCTGGTACGCTGTAAAAAATCAATTACCCCTTTATTAGTTTAAAAAATGACAAAAATACCTTAAAAGTTTACAAATACACCCCTAACAAATTTTGATTACTCTTTCATTTGTGTCCAATGTGACTCATAAATCCTCTAATCTTAGGCAACACTTGAATTCAATCAATTCATCACAATTCACATAAAATTTCTCCATCAAAACCAAAACACAAACAATTAATTAAATTAATTAAATAGTCATACCATAAATCTATAATTAAATATTATAATTAATTAAAAATCTAATCATTTAATTAAATATTGTACTAATGTTTATGATGGAATATTATAATTAATTAAGTAATTATACTATAAATCTATAATGTAATATTATAATTAATTAAATTTTTAATTATTTAATTAAGTAATGTACTAACGTAGTACATTACTAATATTTATAATGTAATGTTATAAGTTTATAATTAATTAAGTAATCATTTAACTATGTAATACTAAATTATTTAAGTGATTATAATATAATGTAATGTTATAATTAATTAAGTAATTATTTAATTATAATGTAATTTTTTAATTAATTAAATTTCTAATCATTTAATTAAGTAACCATTTGTTTATATCGTAATATTATAATTAATTAAGTAATCATATTATAAATTTATAATGTAATATTATTATTAATTAAATTTTTAATCATTTAATTAAGTATTGTCCTAATGTTTATAATATAATATTATAATTAATTGAGAAATCATTAAATTATGTAATGTTATAATGAATTAAGTAGTCATACTATAAATCTTTAATGTAATATTATAATTAATTAAATTTATAATTGTTTAACTAAGAATTAAACTAATGTTTATAATGGAATGTTATAATCAATTAACTAATCATACTATAAATTTATAATGTAATGTTATAATTAATTAAGTTTCTAATCATTTAATTAAGTATTATATTAATATAGTAAATTACTAATGTTTATAATATAATGTCATAATTAATTAAGTAATAATTTAATTATATAATGTTATAATTAATTATGTTATCATACCATAATGTAATGTTATAATGAATTAAGTAATCATACTCTAAATGTTTAATGTAATATTATATTTATTTAAAATTTTAATCATTTAATTAAGTATTGTACTAATACTTATAATGAAATGTTATAATTAACTAAGTAATCGTTTAATTCAATAATCATTTGTTTATAATGTAATGTTATAATTAATTAAGTAATTATACTATAAATCTATAATGTAATGTTACATTTAATTAAATTTCTAATTATTTAATTAAGTAATGTACTAAATTACTAATATAATGTTATAAACTTATAATTAATTAAGTAATCATTTAACTATAATGTAATGTTATAATTGATTAAATAATCATTTAACTAGTAATGTATTAATGTTTATCAATTTATCATATATAATTAATTAATTACTAATTTCCTACAGATATAATTAGAACTTGATAATTGAAGTAAATAACTTAATATTATATTATTATTCAATCAAATATACTATTTTATTAAAAAATAATTCTTTTAATAACATTAAAACATTTTTAATTTATCATAATTCCAATTATACACTTAATTAATCAAAACTTTAATATTAATATATTAAAGTTTTTTATATAGTGTAGTTTATATGTAATAAGTATAATTGTATGTTTATTTAATTACGTTATTGTAAAAATTTAACTTTTTCCATTTCAATTTTTTTATATATAAAATTACAATGGACCACCCAATTCTTCACAGATATTTCATTTCAACCCAAGTTCCAAAACATGCTCCAAACCAAGTACCTGCTGGCTGCTGCATGTTCTTTTTTCCATGTTCCAGTTCTGATTTCGGTTCCTCCATATGTAGGAATCGGAACCGGAACCTACTCACACAGTGTCAGTTCCGATTTCGGTTCTACCCGCAGGTTCTGGTTCTACCCGCTACTCATGCTCACCCCTAACCCAAATAATATGTTTCTCTCTAATTTGGTTGGGAAATATATTCATTCACGAAAAAAACCCCTCTTCTTAGCCTCTTCCATTGCCGGCAATTGCCATCGGTGTTGGGAAGTGTCGGCGACAAGAAAATACTACAAACAAATATTCCTCAATTGTCTTTCAACTCAACAAACACAAAAACTGAACAAATCAAACTCAATTAATCCAATTAAAACTCGAAAAACCCTAGGGTGAGGAAGCTTCAATAGCCAGCGATTGGTGACCAAACAAGATCGAGAATGTCGAGGCTTTTGGAAAGGAAGATCCAATTAGTCGATAGATGGTGGGAAGGATGATTTCTGACACTAGAAACGACCAAAAATTGGCTTGGAAGTTGAAAGGTCGTGTGGTGCATAGTTGGTGATCAGCAAGCAATGGACGGTGATGGAGGTTAGGGTTTTGTAGATGGGTTGTGGGGAGTGTGATAGTGGTGTCTAGGGGAATTTATGGCAAAGAAATCGATCGAAAATCTGGCTTGAAGACTTGGCCGTGCAAATGGTGGTGGTGGTGGTGGTGGTGGGAAATGATGAGTGATGATGGCAAATAGAGGCTTGGGCTTTGTTGAGGAGGTGATGAGGATTCTGTGGGTGGTCTCAAAAGTGATTTTGAACGCCAAGATCGATAAAAAAATGGCAAAAATCGATGGCTATGACGTTACTAACGTGCTCCGTGCCTCTTTTTTTTTCTTTTTCTCCAATTGTTAAATATTTGTTGACCATTCTGCCCTCATTAATAATGGACTTTTGGTTAATTTGCCCTCTCTCAAAACAAAAATTATTAACAAAATTATGCTTTGGATACTAAAAGGATATTTTAAAAGTAAGTAGGTATGAATTTCTCAATGAGTCATATTTTTTTTAGTAGGAACATGTCGTTAACTCCTTAACAAAATAGATACACAGAAATTTTGAAGTGCAAAATCGGGAGGAAAAGGATAGATTCTGTGGGTGAGACTTCATTCTCATAGAAGTTGAAAAAAAAGCATTAATAGTTGATTTTATACAGAAATAAATCCAAACACTTAGCCATCAATATACTTATCACGGTTGAATAACGTCGACCCAAATCAATAAAATATAAATTAACATGTGCAATCAATCCGAAATTAAGGGTCCCTTCAATTCAATCACGGCCATGAATCAATAAAATATTTTTTAAAAAAATTACACAATCTCGAGGGATTAACTATAAATAACCACTATCAACGGCAAAATACATGGAGAAATTTGTATTTAATCGAATAATTATCAAATTAATATAAAGAATAATATTATACATACAACATTTTTATATAACATTTCTTATACAACATTATGTGATAAAATATGATTAGTTAATTTTAAATTAAAATTAAATTTTTACTCAATCATTTTTTGCCACATAATATCGTATGAGAAATGTTGTATGTGTAGTATTATTTTAATACAAATTAAATGTTGTAATCAAATATCAAAGAGTTGGCCTAGCTTCAAACCGACAATGGTTTTTTCTACAACATTTAGTTTATTTAAATCTCTTACACCCGGACTTAATTCAAACACATGCAATAATTAGCCAGAAAAAGATCATTAATTTCAACCCAAATTAATATTTTTAGACAATTTGATGTGGATAATAAAATCAATGCATAATAACCAACCGTTACATGACTGAGTGGTTCACTAAGAACTCTTAATTGTATTATTCAAGAAGTTTCGAGTTTGAATCTCTCATCGATTGTTAATAAGGGTGATCACTAGAACTCTTATCCGATCGATAATTCTAAGGTTCTTAGAAATTAGATGAGGTGCGTATAAGCTGACCCAGACATCTCTGATAAAAAAAAAAAAAAAAAAATTATGCATACACGAAACTGATGCTATAAATTGAAGGTTTGAATTTACAATTTTATTGAATTCGGTTCATGCAAAGCACAAATTTCTATAAATTGAAATTGATTGCATGCATATAATCAGGGATTACAAAATTAACGTAAAATTTGGACGTCAAGACAAAGACTTAAATGGGTTAATTGAAGTGGGGATAATGAAGAGATTGGCCGTAATTAAATAAAATTGTGATTGCATGGATTGATGGCGACTACGCACATGCTTTTGCTTCTATAAATACCAGCAATTTTCCGGATTAATAATCATAGCTAAAGCTGATAGCAATTATTATATGTTGTTTCTGAAAATGGCAAGTTTATTCCTCTACTATTTGGTAGCTTTCTTTTGCTACTTACAGCTTTCTTCTTGCTTCTACCCAAAACATTTGAACTTGTCATCCACTGGAACCCCCAGTGGTCGCCTGCCGGAGCCACCTGGTATGGCAGCCCAGATGGTGCCGGAAGTGACGGTAATGTGTATAAATATTTATATATATACAAGAGAGAGACATGCATATATCTGTTTATTATTAACATTGTTGAGTGAATTATTTAAATGTTATTCATGCATGCAGGAGGTTCTTGTGGTTATGGTAGTGCTGTGTCTCAGCGTCCTTTCTCTTCTTTTGTCACTGCAATTGGCGCAAATCTTTATAATTCCGGCAAATCCAATATGCACGGTAGACATAAATTCAACACAATTAAGATATATACTAGGTTAAATTGGTAACTCAAAGGTTTGATGGGGCGGTGTAAATTTGCAGGGTTGCGTGTGATTATTCAGGGAAACAAATAGTGTTCCATGCGGAACAAAGGTTAAATCCAAACTACTTTGCGGTGGTGGTTGAGTTTGAAGAGGGAGATGGAGATCTCGGAGCAGTTGATCTGAAGGAGGGTTCGGGGTCAGGTGAATGCAGGAGCATGACACAATCATGGGGAGCGGTTTGGAAGTTGTCGATTAAATTGACATCAAAGTATGCGGGGAAGACGCCGGCGGCGGAAAATATGATACCTCAAGGATGGAAGGCGGCAGCTAGTTACAGATCGGTGGTTGAGTTTGAGTTTTGAGATCAAATAATTTTAAATAGGTTTAGTGTGTTAAGTTAGAATTGAGCACCCGCAATTATGGAGAAGATCTTGTGATGTTGAGGTGTAATACACTTATAAATAAAGATCTATTATAAAGTGACGTAACAAAATATAAATAAAAGTGTGGATTTAATAAGTTTTACTTTTTGTTTTAATTTTTTATTTATTTTTTGTCAACTCACTTTATATAAAAATTCTTTGTAAGTATAGTATTATTGTTTAATTAATATCTACAAAAAAATGTGTAATCTAACGATTTTTATAAAGAATGAAAAGCCCCGTATATAAAGGTTTTTAATATTTTTAAGAGGTTTATAATATTTTTAAGGGGTTTTATAATATATTTTTTCTGATAAATATTTAATTATTTCCAAAAATAACAATTTTTTTATCATTTAATTAATATTTCTATAACATTACACAAACAACTTTTTCTATAGAAAAAAGTAATGCCATTTATTTCAATATATTGTCTTATTAAGCTTCTATTGTGAATATATTTGCAGTTAAAGACATGAATAAACGACTTTTTCTCAATTAAATAATAGTTTAATGACATTTTTTCACTCATAGAACTTTTAAAATTTCACTTTATTACTCAAATTTATATTCTATTTTTTATTACGACATCATTATGACCTCGTATCATCATTATTATCTTTTTCGATTATCACTCACCGAAACCCTATTTTCTCGACCTTGTCAATTGTCAACAATTGAACAATTAGGGTTTGCATAGTTATCCCTACAAAATCAAATTCGAATCAATTTTAATCACCAAAATCTAACATTTTTCTACTGAATGACTCATTTACCTTCTCTCTTCAAAAATCTTAATAATCTGAATCAAATTTGCTCTATAATGATCGTCAAAATATTAATTTAAAGTTTATAAATGAAAAAGTATCGTAAACCATTATTTAAGTTGAAAAAAGTACTCATTAATACACGTATAACATCTTTTTTAATATGTTTAGGAAGGATTAAAAAAAAAAAAAAAAAGAGTTCATCCAAAATTCTAAATGAAAGCCCAGCTGGCCAGGTTTAAGGTCTCACTCAACTGTTATTACACACAGTGATGTTCTTCACCGTCCCTATATTCCGTCCAGGTACACTGAAAATGGGTATTTAACAGCACTAATAAATTGTCAAATACTTTGGTCTAATAATGGGAATATTAACGTCACTTAGACTCTCACATTTAGCTTCTGCTCCACACCGTTTCAATCAAAATTCAACCCTCTTCTTTCTACACAATTCTTCCATTTTCACCTCTCCACCACTTTTCTCACTTAGACATACTAAACTAAAAGCACTTGCCACCGATTCTGCATCTCCAATATCAAATATGGTCAAAGCCATTAGGGTTCATGAACTTGGCGGACCTGAGGTTTGTTGTCTGTTCCTTATTTCCTGATCAATTTGTGAAATCCATTTCTAGTTTTGTATTATTGATTCCAATTTATGGTTGTTTTATTATATTACACTACCGTTGAATATGAAATTTTTATAAATTTACCTTGTATGCAATCTGGGTCATGTATAATTTTGCAGTTTAATTCTTAGAAATGAAACATTAATATGGGGGAGGGAAGAGTTGTTACTAAGTTTTGTAAATGGAGATGTTTTCCGTATAACTTATTACTTATTATTGTGCGTGATGATGGTAGGTTCTGAAGTGGGAGGATGTGGAAATAGGGGAGCCTGGTGACGGCGAGATACGCGTGAGAAACAAAGCGATTGGGCTTAATTTTATCGATATTTACTTCCGTAAAGGCGTTTATAAGGCTGCCACAATGCCCTTCACCCCAGGTGTGGTTCTCTTACTTTATATTTCATATTTTCCATTTTCTAGAAAGAATGACTCCTAGTTATTTTAACAATAATTGCTTATTAGATGCATTGTGCAAGTTATTGATTATGGCATAGCCCTTGTTATTTTCTTCTCTGTAGACTGTAAGTAATGTGTAAGTTACTGCAAGATGCTATGTGATTAATAATTGCTAGAAGATTATGAATAATACGTGATATCTCATCTGGAATTTGATTATGACAATTTCTTGAACTATCATTTTTGTTATGTGATCTTTTTGTTCTAAGCTACTGCCACATTCATTTGGCTTTATGTTCTTCAAGCAAGTAGCAAGCGAACTCCTTTGGTATTAGAAGTTACTTTCTGTATTTGATTCTAAGTTAATTTAGGTTGCTGTGTTTTTATGATATTAGATTAAGTATACCTGCTTGGTGAGCCATGGTGCTAGGACATTTGATCATGCAGCATCGTGAATAAATCAGCTGCAAGGCTATTAAATGACTTTCGTTTCTCTATTGTAGGTATGGAGGCTGTTGGAGAGGTAATTGCTGTGGGCCCTGGGCTTACTGGCAGGGAAGTTGGAGATATCGTGGCTTATGCTGGTGGTCCAATGGGTTCATATTCTGAAGAGCAGATCCTTCCTGCAAACAAAGTGGTTTCTGTTCCTTCTTCTATCTCACCTGTTATTGCAGCTTCTGTCATACTTAAGGGTATGACAGCTCAGTTTCTACTTCGCCGTTGCTTCAAGGTAGGTATCATGTGCATCTTCGAGCATTTGCTCTTCCAAGTTCCATTATTGGGGTATGAAATAGTTCTTGGCCAGAAAACTTATATGATACAAAAACTCATGTTGGTTGCTATTTTTTAAGAATTCCTGCTTGGATCAAGTGGATTAATATTTGGACATTTTATCAATGATTGTACATGTCAAAGTTGTTGTCATAAATGTGTGCAGAATGAGCCACATAGAGTATTTTACTCATAAAACATAGAAAAGAGAGCAATAAAAAATGATTTTCTGGAGGAAAACAATTGATTTATTAATTATAAGCTAAATAACTATATTGGGAAAAACATTACTTTTAAGTAAGTTATCCTTGAATTGGACGTCTCTATGGCTAGCAAAAACAAAAAAGTTTGGCATATGGGCATTCTCCGTGTATGAAAGACTATTAGAATAAAATGCCTTCATCATGAATGTGTTATTTATCTTCACAATTTCATTATTTTAGTCATTTTAATAATGATGTAGCATGATTGTCCGGATATCATGCTGACCTGTTAGGATAGATTGATTCTTCTTTTCTTACTTCAGTAGTAAAAAGGATGTGATTCTCTTTTTATATACACAGGTTGAGCGTGGACACACAATTCTTGTTCATGCTGCAGCTGGTGGGGTTGGATCTCTGTTATGCCAATGGGCAAATGCTCTGGGTGCAACTGTTATTGGCACTGTCTCAACTAAAGAGAAGGCAACTCAAGCCAAGGATGATGGATGTCACCATGTTATCATCTACAAGGAAGAGGATTTTGTTGCCCGCGTTAATGAGATAACATCAAGCAATGGGGTAGATGTTGTCTATGATTCTGTAGGAAAAGACACCTTTCAGGTAACATGACTTTATTCTCCTTATGTACAGATGGTTGAATCAATGGGAAGTATAGTATTGTACATAATAGGGTGTGTCACAGAAGCAGTAACTTGACTAAACCTTTTAAAGTGGATACACTCAAATGAGGCTCATGTTTTTCAGTGTGCTTTTCATGTTAGCTTATATTAGTCGCCAAGAGTGCATCTGTGTTAGGATAGTTGATTTGGAATTTAAGCAACTAAAAGTTTACTGTATCCACTTGAGGACAAATTGGGGGATCGTTCCTTGTTGTCCCATAAGGTTATGGAGCACGTTAGTTATATTATTGAAAGCAATTTAATCCTAGGCTAGAACTGATTAATTGTCTTGAAGAATTTAAATTAATAAGGAAGTTGGTTTAGTAAAATGTTGCTAAAATGCAATCCGGATTGAACCGAGTTGATCCATTAAGAGTTTTGGTTGACGTAAACAGTTGTTGGGTTTAACAGGTCTCTCTACTTTGTTCTCTTAAATTTGTTGGGAGTCAGTTCTTGACATCTAAGTTTTACCATATTCAGGGATCACTGGCATGCTTAAAGCTTCGGGGTTACATGGTGAGTTTTGGGCAGTCTTCTGGTACACCAGATCCAGTTCCCTTATCAGCACTGGCACCAAAATCTCTGTTCTTGACGAGGCCTTCTCTCATGCAATATACGTCAACCCGGGATGAGCTGCTAGAAACTGCTGGGGAGGTATTTGCCAACATTTCATCAGGTGTCTTGCGGGTTCTTGTAAATCATACATACCCTTTGGCACAAGCAGCACAGGCACATGCAGAGCTGGAGAGCCGAAAAACATCTGGATCAGTTGTGCTAATACCATGAAGGTGAGCAGTCTGTTTCATCTTACACAGAATAGATGGAGGTTGTTTGGTCAAGTGTGTTGTGAGCCTTGCTATGTACACAAAGATCCATGTCCAGTAACTATACGCGGTCACCAAGAGAACTTAGAGAAGTCGTGTTTGTGGTATGGTAGCAATAAAAATGTAGAATTCTGGACATTTGACTGGTTTTTCTGCTTGTAATCATGTTGATGGTACTTTGCTTTTGGTACTAGTATGGAGTGTGGTTGTGAATATAGAAGATGAAGCAATTGATTTTGACATTTATAACATTCAATATAAACTTATTACAAATATATTTGTAAATGTGATATTTCATCTTAATAGTAAAGGCTTGAAAATCTGTGTTAAATTTGTAATATGAAAAAGATTCAATTCAAGCATCCATCTTTGAATTTTGGTTTAATTAATTAATTGAAACATCCAGTAAAACTTGGCCGCTCTCATTAATTATTTCACAGCCTTTGAACTCCTACGCACTCACATTATCACCCGTTGAGATTCTTGAAAACGAGAACGTCTTATTGAAACTTTCCAAGAGGGGCGTTGTTGGACTGAGCTTAAGAGTAGTGTGATGCTTAAGTGGGGTAATAGGAAGGAAGTTCCTCAGAAATGATGAGACACAGAAATTAGACGGTGAAGAAGAAGATGTACAGTTAGATTGGTCCCCTAAGAAGATGAAGGAGAGTCGGAAGAGAAAGCGCGCGGCGCACATGTTTATGGCATGACAATGGGGCGGGGTGGGGCGGAGATCTCATTCACCATACTCATGCCTGCCCTCAAAATTACTCTCCACCCCCGTCCCATCGTTGTTACAGGGATGAAAAGAATTCCCTTTCCCCGCCCCAAAGGAGAATGTTAGAGGTTCATCCCCATCCTGTTAATTTTATATAAATACAAATTAATTTTAGTATAACCAAACACAATAGTTAATTCTCGTCCATATGACAAACACTTAAATTAATTATTTAACCATAATTAATTATACATAACTATGAGTCAAGGTTTGTTCTTAAACAATTGTTCTTGTTCAATTGTTTAAGGTGAGAGAAATTAGAAAAATATAAGTTTATATAGATTAGATAATTGTGTAATTAGATAAAATATAGAAATATGAATAAAAAATGCATATATATATATATATATATATATAATTTTTTTTTTAATTTTATATATTTTATACAAGCCGAGACAGGAAAAAGGCATCATCCACCCCTGCCCATCCCCGAGGATGGGCGGATGGGCATTAAGACAACCCCACCCCCGCCCCTATCCCCAAAAAACCGAGGCTTCCCCACCCCGTTCTAGATGGTCGAAAGAGAGGTATAAAATGGCGGAAGTGAACATGTCGAAGATATTGAAGGAGAAAGAAGCGATGTTTGGGAAGCCGATATTGAGGCCGGCGTTGAGATCGGAGGCGAGGAAATTGATTGGCGATACCGGTCTGTTCCATCATTTGTTGAAATAATATGTCGGCGAAGGTGGCGCCGAGGGGACAAGAGAGGTTTCGGAGGAGATATAACGCCGACGGAGCAATGGAGTACTGGTTGGAGAGCGCTAATTTGGTTGATTTCGGAAAAAGGCCGGAGTTGAGGATCCTCATTGGATTTTACCACCGGGTTGGAGCCTTGGTGATAATCTGACTCAGGATTCTGTTTGTGCCGTGGAGTTCAAGCTGCTTAAGGAAGCCATGGCCAAAATGGAAAGGTTACTGCGTGCTTGCAGCTTGTTAATTTCCTTATAACAAATTGATGTTGAATAATACTAATATATCTGTGTTTTGTTTGGAAATCTACAGGAACATGCAGGAGCTCTTGTTTAAGAAGCAGGAGGATGATGTGGCTGTTGTGAACACTCAAAGTTCTTGTAATACGAGCCAGAACTTTGATCATGACAACTTCTTGCTTCCATTGAAGGTAAATGATTAACTAGTGAACAGTGGATTTAATCCCCAAAGTGTTGTTGATCCTACTCTTTAGGTGTTTGTTGGATTGTTTTGGCAGGAGATGTTTACAAATTTGATGAATAAAAAAGCTAAGATTAAGGAACAAATGATGGAAGTTTCACATTCTCTTTGTGAAATGGAAGTATTCAATTATTAAACCTTCAATGTGTTATAAGGAAATTAACAAGCTGCAGGCACGCAGTAACCTTTCCATTTTGGTCATGGCTTCCTTGAGCAGCTTGAACTCCACACGGCAGAAACAGGATCCTGAGTCAGATTATCACCAAGGCTCCAAGCAAGCAGTAGAATCCAATAAGAATCCTCAACTCCGGCCTCTTTCTGAATATCAACCAAATCTGCACTCTCCAACCAGTACTCCATTGCACCGTCGGCATTATGCTTCCTTTGAAACCTCTCTTGCCCCCCTGGCGCCACCTTCCTCGCCATGTGTTTTTAACAAATGATGCAACAGACCGGTATCTCCGATCAGTTTCCTCGCCTCCGATCTCAATGCCGGCCTCAATACCGGCTTCCCAAACACCGCTTTTTTTCCTTCAACATCTTCGACATGTTCAGTTACGCCATTTGATACCTCTCTTTGGACCATCTATAACTTAAGTTCTCGGCCTTTCTCTTCTCACAGCTAGTAATAAACACGTGGCTAGGCACTTTCTATTCCGATTCTCCTTCATCTCCTATCTAACCTCACATCGTCTTCTTCACCATCTAATTTCTCGGTCTCATCATTTCTCAGGAACTGAACTTTCTTCCCCTTACCCCACTTGAGCATCCCTCTACTCTTAAGCTCATTCCAGCATCACCCCTTCTTGGAAGGTTCATGACCGGCTTCCTGGGTGTACTTTTCGTCCAGTGATGGCATCTTCGCCTTGAGCTCTTCTTCAAATATAATGTGAATTGTCGGCCCAAACCAAGCATTTTGCTGCGTCGTTGTAATATTAATTAATAGTTTTTGAAGACCTTTTTATCTAGCATCAATTTAGAGGCTTTAAGTATGCAAGAACTAGTCCAAAGTTTCATTTCCTGTTGGGGTTCATCAACTACATAGAATAGAACCCTCTTTATTTACGTCACTCTCAGAGTGAAACATATTTTGGAAAATAATACAGAATGCTTACCCAATTCATGAACAGAATGATATGATGTAATTTTGACCATCGATTAATTATTAATTAATTATCAGAATTTTGTCAAATCATTCCGAACGTATTTTTTTGTAACGGTAGTATTGCTCATATATTTTTGTATGATTGGTTATTTCTCTCCTTTTTTTTCTTTTTCTATTTTCTTTCCTTTCTTATTTGTCCTCATAGAGTTGCTCTCATTAGTTTATTCTCTTTTCTCTATCCAATTTCAGCAATTTATTTCACTACAGTTGCAAAGAGTGTGGTAATTTTTTATCATGCTGTTTGCACCATGAAAAGATGAGCAATCCCAACTGTCTTTACACTAACTTTAACTCTGAGCAATTGTAGAAAAGTCACTACAAACTCATAACAGTTTCTTCAAGTGCCAAGTACTTGAACATTTTCTTTTAGGCATGGAAATTCCCCAACCTCTCTTAAATTTTCATGAATTTCTAACTGGGGATTACAGGAAACTTATTGAATGTATCCACGTATGTTCTTTGGGTTTGGGGAGTGTTGTGCGTAATGGTTATTAGTACCCTATCTTAATATAAGAATCGATATGAGTGGCTAACGATACATATCAGAGAGTATTTTAAATCTTTCGATACGTTGATGTGTATTTTACGATATGATACGTATCCGTAAAAATATCGATACCATTTTATTAAATTAGGCCAAAGACCCAAAAAAAATTTGGGTCGGATCCGAGTCACCCAACTTAGTTCACTAAAACCTGTCCAACGTTACCCATTTTGCATGGAGAAAACGAAAAGGAACATATGTTGCCCATTTTGCATGATAATAATAATACCAGTAGAGATATAAATATTGACATTGATCTTAGAAATGATATAAATGGTTGAGAGGAAATATATAGATTCTTAATTTTGTGATTAATTTTGATTATGTAATACTCTAATTTAAAGTCAATAATACTACAAAATTTTTTAATTAATCATTAGAATGATTTTAATTTTTAGAAAAATTTTATTATTTTACTAAATTTTAAAAAAAATGCGTACATAAAAAATTAGATTTTTAATATACAATACCATATGCGAGTTGACAACCACTTGTACCTATAACCTCTTGTTGATTCCAAAAGTCTATGCCACTTAACCCAACCCTTGAAGTCAAATTGAGTTCAAAATAAATCAAGAAGAAGAAAAAAAAACAAAAAAAAAACAGGTTCTATTGGTAACTTGGCCTCTATATTATATTTAGGGTGTATTTGGTTCAGAGAATGTTGGATTACTAGGAATGTTGGATTACTGGAAAGTTAGATTACCTTGAAGATTACTGGGAATCTTTAGAAAAATGTATTTGGTTAGTTGATGGGTATGTTATATTAATATGTTTGGTTATGAGGAATAAATTTGTGGATATGTTATTTAAATTACTGAATTGTCCTCTAATTAAATATTATTATTATATTATTTTTTAATATTGATTATTATTTGGATTATTATAACCCCCCTGTATTTAAAAACTTGGCAAAACAACCCCATAATGAAAGTTTGGAAAATCAACAAAGCACCCCCACCAATCTAGCCATTGCCGGCCGCCAGCAACCACCGCAGGCCACGGAAGCCAGCAACCTAATGGCATACGGAAGGCAGAAAATGGCCTCTGTGCGCCATATGGCCATTTTCGACCAAAGATCTGGCCATTGACGGCTAGAGCCATCGATCTGGCCGTTGACGGCCAGATCTGTCACGATCTAGCCATTTTCGGCCTTCCATGCACCGTTCCGATGGCGGCCGCGACGGTGGTTATCGGCGGCAAGTGGGTGGGGGTGGTGGCTTGGGTGGACTGTAATTTGTTTTGAATTCAAGAGTAATTTTGTCCAAAAAGTTAATTAATTGGGGTGAAATAGTAAAAGCCATATTCATGTAAATAAATTTAAAAATAAGGGCATTATTGTCCTAAAATTTTATTAATAAGGGATAGAATTATAACAAAAAAAAGATTACCTTGGTAATCTTAGAATACCTAAGAAAATAGAAGTAATCAAATTACCTCCAATATTACCAACAGTAACTACTATTAGTATTTAAAGATTATCAGATTCTTATATTACTTGACAACCAAATGTAGTAATCAAGTAATATAAGATGACATAACTTTGATAATCTCATATTACCCTCAATCAGACGCCCCTTTAGAGGTAACATGCATGCAAGATGGTTTTTCAATTTAAG